TTTTTGCTTATCATTAGGTACCTCACGTACACCGAGTGGTCGGAATTGTACGGAGGAAAAAAAGTTGAATCAGCAGAAAATGAGCACATCAAATTTAAGCGTCTTCCATTCGACCACTGTTGCATTACAATGGGGCCTTTCGATACGCCCTACTGTGATGTTGATGGTAATGTTTTTAGCTTGGAGGCGATACACGCTTTTATCAAAACATTCAAAGTGAATCCAATCACCGGCAAATCTCAGGATGCTAAGATCCTAGTGAAACTAAATTTTCATAAGAACGCTGAAGGTGTATATCATTGCCCGGCGCTTTTTAAACCATTCACAAAAAATTCACACATTGTGGCGTTGGCCACTACCGGCAATGTTTACTCTTGGGAAGCTATTGAACAGCTAAACATAAAAACCAAAAATTGGAAAGACCTCGTAGATGATTCGCCATTTCAGCGCAAAGATATAATAACTATTCAGGATCCGCACCATTTAGAAAAGTTTGATATTTCGCGTTTTTATCACATACGAAAAAATCTTCGCGTTCTCTCTGAAGAAGAGCAGCTGGAACGCAAAGACCCAACCAAACGTATTAAAACTATGAATTTGGAAACTAAAGAAACACTAGCACAGCTGGAGAAAGACTACCAGCCACCAGAGGAAGCACCAACTACAAGCAAACGTATAGCGGATAAGTTCAATGCAGCACATTACTCAACTGGAGCTGTGGCAGCAAGTTTTACCTCGACAGCTATGGTACCAGTTTACAACCATGAGGCGGCAATAATCGAAGATGATTTAGTAAAGTACGAACGTGTAAAGAAGAAAGGCTATGTACGTCTACAAACAAATTTTGGACCACTAAATTTTGAATTGTATTGCGATGCAGTTCCTCGTGCTTGTGATAACTTTATACGACATTGCAGTGATGGATATTATAATAACATCAAGTTTCATCGCTCCATACGAAACTTTATGGTTTGTTAAGGAATTAAGCGTTATATATTCTATCTAACCGGTCTAACACATTTTTATTGAATTTAGATACAAGGTGGTGATCCCACTGGAACTGGTACTGGTGGCAAATCTATTTGGGGTAAAAAGTTTGAAGACGAATTCAAACCTAATCTGTCGCATTCAGGCCGTGGTATGCTCTCTATGGCTAATTCGGG